TCCAGGTCCGGGGGCGGCAGCCGACCTTGTGGCCTCCGCGCGCCCGCGCGAAGCTCCCAGACCCCCTCGAGTAGTGACAAAAATCATGACGGGAGGCGTTTCCTAATTCTCGGCCCCCGGGAGCCCTCGCCGGGCCTCGGGAGCGTCAAAAAAACGACTCGGGATGCTGAGCCGGTCGTGGGGAAAGGGTCGGTGCCTCGGGGGGTCGACGTACTGAACAAATCATCACGTCGGGGGTCTGGGCTCCGGCCTCGGCCGGCTGCTGCGACGGCGCACGCGCGGAGAGCGCTCGCCGCACGCGGCCACCGATGCTGGCCGAGGCCGGGGCGTCGGGGGCAGTGCGCCGGCGCGCGAGCGCGAGTGCGGGCCGATGGGGCCGAGCGAACAGGGGGGGATAGGGAAAGGGGGGGGTGCGAAGTCTGCTGCACGCAGCTGGCTTCGTGAGCTGATTCTCACCCCCCCCCCCCTTTTGTTACTCCTCACCCTTTCGCCTCCCGGCCCGAGGCTCGACGCCTGAGCAAGCGAATCGAGTCCTTGTGCGTATCCCACCCCGTGCAGTTGCACGGCCACCCTCGCCCCACACCCGGAGCCTGGTGGCTGGGGGTGGGGAGCGCGACATGGATTGGGGAGCAAGTCGATGACAGGGACGAGAGGGGGGGGGGGGCAAAGTTAGGTGCGCTCGCGCCAATAATAGACGTCCATGCACTCCCATCCCTTCTCGTTCCCACTGCGCCTCTTCGTTTCTTATCAGCCACGCGGAGCCAATAGGGACTCGGGGGGACCCCTCAAATAAAAACAAACTGTCCTCGCATTTTGATGCACGCGCGCCAATCACAAAACCGACAGCAGTCCACAGCGGGGCGGGAGAGGGCGAGAGGGGGGGGAGAGGGGGGGAGGGGGGGAAGGGAGAGAGGGGGAGAGAGGGGGGGGGGAGAGAGGGATGAAGGGAGAGAGGGGGAGGGAGACAGAGGGAGAGGGAGTCGTCAGGCCCCCAAAGAGCAACCAGAAATGCTGAGCTACCTCCGAGAACGGCTGAGAATGCCCCCCCATTGACCCTCGAGGTTCGACGGCACACAGTCTATCAGGTCCTCCATCCCGACGGCGACGATCACGATGATGCTGCTCATGGTGAGTGGTGGTGACGCTGATGCGGATGCTGATGATGAGGATGGGGATGTTGATGCTCATGATAATGAGGATGATGAGGAGGAGGATCGTGCTGAAGATGATGATGCTGATGATGATGCTGATGCTGATGCTGATGCTGATGATGCTGCTGCTGATGATAATGATGTGATGGTGATGGTGGTGATGGTGATGGTGATGGTGATCATGATGGTGATAGTCATGGTCAGGGTCATGGTGATAATGATGCTGATGGTGCGAATGATGACGGTGTTGGTGATTATGATGGTGATGATGATGATGATGATGATGATGATGATGATGATGATGATGATGATGATGACGGTTGTCATCATGATGATGACTACTACGAATGATGGGATGGTGATGGTGGTGGTGTTGGCAATGATGGTGTCATGATTTATGATCATGATGGTGAGGATGCATGTGATGGTGATTATGGCTGTGGTTAACGTGGTGATGAATGTGGGTGATGGTGGCGATGAGGAGGGTGATGGTGGTGATAATGATGGTGTCCAAGGTTAGAATGATAGGTGCGATGGAAATGATGTTGATGATTACGAGGATGAATCTAGAGACGACGATGATGATACCTAAATATGTTGGTTGTGGCGTTATCATTAATGTTTTTGCTGGTGACGTTGATGATGGTGTTACTGGTGATTATGATGGTGAGAATGATGATGGTGATGATGATGGTGATGGAGATGATGACTGGTAATTCTGGTGATTGTGATGATGGTGGTGACGACGTTGATGACGAAGACAACGACCTCAACTGTAAATCCGCGACGACGCCGCCGCCGACGACGCCTCCGACGACGAGGGCGAGGACGAGGACGCGGACACACGCCGCCGCCGCCCACGTCCCCGCTGCCCGGTCCACCAACGGCATCCGACGAAGGCTTCCGACGGATGCCTCCGACGGAGATCCCAGGAGGCCTCTGGAGGCCCTTCTGGGGAAGAGGGAGAGGTAGAGGAGTGAGGTGGACGGAGTTGAATGGCTCTGGCCTGGCTCACCTTCTGGGATCTCGCGCGCTCTTCGGACACCTCTGGGCTTTCTCATTTTTGTTCGATGCCATGGCATCGGAATCCGGATGCGGCCTTCACCTATTTCGTCCCAGGGAGGTGGAGGGGTAGGTGGAGGCAGCGAGGAGGAAGGAGGGAGGGAGGATCCGAGACTGGATCATGTGGACGCCCTGGCCTGCCGGTTGATTGGAGCAGGGGTTTCCTGAAGTTGGCTTGGGCCACAAGCCCCCCCTCCATTTCTCGTCCTCCTTCGAGTAAGGCTGTGGAGGAGGCACCTCCAGAGGACCGACGCCTCTTGTCGCGAGCGGTCCCACGCCGTTTCTGGTTTCCCGTGCACGGTTTCCCCCACAGACGGGCACGCCCAAGGCCGCCATGTGACAGAACGGAGGGAGGGAGGCCGGAGGCGCTGGAGAGGCAGAAGCAGGGAGGAATGGAGGCGGAATCGGAATCGGCCCCCTCGCTAGGGGCCCCTGGAGGCCGACGCGAAGCGTTTCTTCCCGAAAGAAGAAATCCAGTGATACCAGTCCTGGAGCCTCGAGGGCGTCGAGGGCCAGCAAGGCCGCCTCCATCCCGGCGACGACGGCCACGATGAGGTTGATGATGATGATGATGATGATGCCGATGAAGATGAAGATGAAGATGATGATGATGATGATGATGATGACGATGACGATGATGAAGAGTATGATGATGAAGCTGATGATAATGATGATGCTGATGCTGATGCTGATGATGATGATGCGGATGATGCTAATGATGATGATGATGATGATGCTGATGATGATGATGATGATGATGATGATGCTGATGCTGATGATGATGCTGCTGATGATAATGATGTGATGGTGATGGTGGTGATGGTGATGGTGATTTTGATCATGATGGTGATAGTCATGGTCAGGGTCATGGTGATAATGATGCTGATGGTGCGAATGATGACGGTGTTGGTGATTATGATGGTGATGATGATGATGATGATGATGATGATGATGATGATGATGATGATGATGATGATGATGATGATGATGATGATGATGGTGGTGGTGGTGGTGATGGTGGTGGTAGTGGTCGTGGTGATGGTGATGATGAGGGTTTTGGTGTGGATGGTGGTGATGACGAAGGCGGCGATTGTGATTGTGATGATCGGTGATGTCGATGGAGGTGGTGACGACGGCGATCATGGTGGTGGTAGTCATCATGAGCAGGAGCAGGAGCAGGAGCAGGAGGAGGAGGAGGAGGAGCAGGAGGAGGGCGACGGTGATGTTGACGCGACGACGACGACGCCGACGACACGGGCGACGTCGCGCCGCAGCATGGTGATGGTAATGATCATGTTGATGAGGATGATGACGAGGAGGAGGAGGAGGAGGAGGAGGAGGAGGAGGAGGAGGAGGAGGCGACGGTGATGTCGGCGCGACGACCACGACGACGCCGACGACGACGTCGACGACGACGACGACGACGCGCCGCTGCCCGGCCCGCCGCGCCGCTGCCCGGGCCGCCGAGGGCTGCTTCGCAGGGTCCAAACGGAGGCCTCCGGCCGCGGCCGAGAAGGCCGCCGCCGCGGGCCAGCCGCCGAGGCCTTCTCCCAGAGGGGCCCGCGGCGGCCTGCTGCCGCCCGCGGCAGCCCCTCGCCCTCCTAGCCCTCCCCCTCCTGCTGCCGCTCGTCACCCTCCTCCCTCTCCCCCTCCCCCTCCTCCCCTCCTCCTCCTCCTCCCCCCTCCCTCCCTCCTCGCATCAGTGTCATGACTTCGTGTTCCCCTGATCACCCCCCTCCCCCTTCCTATCCCTCCCCCCACTCCTTAATACAATACTCAATATGAATTCTACTCTCCCTCTTCCCCCGAAGGCGGCCTGAAAGTAGCCGACCCCCCCCGCGTACTGTTTTTTACACAGGATTCCCGGGAGTTGGGTTTTCGCCTGCGTTTTTTTTTCAAAATGCTGCTCTCGCTGAGGCGCCGGCCTCATTTCTGCTCCCGCATCGTTCCGAATCGTGCTCCCGCTGCAGCGTGGGCCTCATTTCCGGATCAGTGTTTTGCCTCCGTCGTTCAGGATGGCGTTCTCGCCCCAGCGCGGGCCTCTTTCTCGCGCGCCCATCCGCCCGCCACCACCGCGCCGCACCACGCCCCGCCCCGCCGCACGCACACCCACCGCCACTTCCACCCACCAACGCAAGCACGCACGCACGCGCATCACCACCGCGCACCGCCACCACCACCGCACTACCCCACCCACCACCACCACGCTACACCGCGTCACACCACATCACACGCGCGCACACACAGACACACACGCACGCACGCACACACACATACACACGCACACACACACACGCACACACACAGACACACACACACACACACACTACCACGACCACGACACACACACAGACACAACAACACACACATCACACACCTCCCCACCACACGCCATTCACGCTAACTGTACAGCACCTGGCCCACCACCAAACACCAAGGGGACGCCACACCAGGTCACACCCACAGCCGACACGCGCCAACGCACGCACACACCACACACACAGACACACCACCACCACCACCACCACCACCACCACCACCACCACGACAACCACGCACACACGCACGCACGCACGCACGTGCACCACCACCCACTACGCACGCGCGCGCGGAGGCACAGGTCCGCTACGACACGCGTCCGCGGATAGAGAAAATCAGCGCCATGGTAAGGGATGGGAGGGAGGGGTAGGATGTCAGATGTTGACGCGAGCGCACCTCACTTGCCCTCCCCCCTCCGCCCCCTCCCTCCATCCTCCTCCTCCTCCCGCCTGGGCCGTCCAGCCCCAGGCCGTCCTCAAGGGCGAGGAGGTCTGAGGAGCCCCGACCAGCCTCCGCGGGCTGTCCGCTGTTCGCCGTGAAGGGAACGGGTCTTGTGGGAAACGGGTCCTCGGGTCTTCGCCGCTCTTTGGTTTCCCGGGGCCGCCGACGCGCCCTGGGACCATCAAACAATGCTTCAGGATGGCGGGCTGGTCTTGGGGGAAGGCCACAGAGTTCAGGACCCATTACCCTCAGGATCGTTTTTGTTCATGCCAAGTCGTCGTCGGCGGTGTCGTCGGCATCGTCGTCGGTGTCGGCCTCGTCGTCATTGGCGGCGTCGGCGTGGGCTTGTTTCATGCTGCAGTTCTTAACCCGCTGTCCAGGAGGTCCAGGCTCAACTTGGTTTCTATTATGCGTTTCGCCCCCCCCCCCCACCCCCACCACCCCCCCCCCCCCTCTGTCTCTCTCGCTCCGAGGCCCAGAAATAGACACCACCACCACCCTCACCAGTTCCCCCTCCAAGAAAAGAGGAGAGGAAGAGGAGGGTAGACGAGGGTGGTGGAATGAAGCTGGTGGTGATTATGTTATTCGGGCCCGCTGTCTCTTTCTCTGTCTCTGTCTCTGTCTCTCTCTCTCTCTGCCTTCAGGATCCTCGAGAGACCCTCGATGGCATACAGGGAGCTCCAGGGACCTGCGGATCCAGGAACCTCCTGGGGTCTCGGGGACCGAGGAGGGAGGGAGGGAGGGAGGCTGGCACCGCTGCTGTGAGCCACTGCGGTTGTTGCATCTTGGTCTCCCAGGGACGCCATGAGCCTGCGCCCGCCAGAGGACTCCGCCGCCGCCAGCTTCGCGCGCTGCTGCCAGCACGACGGCTGCTTCTTCTGTGTATGCGGCACGCGCCAGCGTTTGAAACGCGTGCCCGGCGCCTCCCCGATGCTGTTCCAGCTGCGCGGAAGGTTCGCGCTGGGCCGGCCGGGTGGCGACTGCCTCGTCGCCGCCCGTCGTCTGGGCCCGAGCGGCGGTCAAGGGGGCCTCGTCGCCGCCCCGCCGCCGCCTGGATCGTACAACATAGACTTCACCACCGATGTTCAGGGATTGCACTGCATAGATTGCACCGCACATATTGCAACACGTCGACTACACCGCATATATATATAGACTTACAACGTAGATTGCACCGTATCGATTGCACAACATGCACTGCTACACAAAGATTTCACAACGTAGATCGCACTGCAAACATTGCACCACATATGTTGCACCACGTCGGTTGCACCGCAGAGATTGTGCAACCTGTTCTGTTTGGAACACACTGTCTGGGGTCCGCGCTGGCGAACAGATCAGTCGTAGTCACACTCGTAGCATAAGTATTGCTCGTATTCATAAAAGTTCCAGTAGTAGTAGTAGTAGTAGTAGTAGTAGTAGTAGTAGTAGTAGTCGTAGTAGTAGTAGTAGTAGTAGTAGTAGTAGTAGTAGTAGTAGTAGTAGTCGTAGTCGTAGTCGTAGTCGTAGTCGTAGTCGTAGTCGTAGTCGTAGTCGTAGTCGTAGTCGTAGTCG